GTGAAATGCACGAAAAGTAATTTTCGAGGACTGAATTATAAAAACAGAAATTATGCAGGGACAAAGGGATAATTTCGGGAGAGTAGAAAATCAATTCTGATTTTTGGAATGAATAAAAATCGGGGTATGGGGATCTATTTATAGATGTTGAAAGGTTGTGTCCAAAAGACACAAACCGCCACTTTGGACAGTCAACCGTCACTTGGACAGTCAACGGCCACAACCTGCTAAATTCTAGAAGCACCGTACCACGTGTCACACACAGAAAATTTGGGGAAGAAAAAAATAACATAAAATATATTATTATTATTATAATAATAAAATAATATAATTAAATGTTATTTTACCAAAAAATATATATCAGCTTGGCCCAAACCCACGACCCGTGACCGTGCCGAGCCGAGTCCGCCGGTCGGACGGACGGCAGCGCGCGCGTGTGGGTTTTGGCTTAACCTACTAGCATGTAAGTTCTCTCCCCCTCAAAGACTATTGGTACCCCTTGGGGCCCAAACCCAAATCCCAAACTTGAGCTATATAAGGTGGTTTATATTCTTCTAGTTTTCCTATGTGGGATTGGGATTTTTCAATTTTCCACCTATTTTATTTCAATATCAAGTGGGCATCTTTTGACCTTAATTTCTCATTCACCCTAAATTGGTTTTGAGAAAATAAATATACCATATTAATCTACTCATGGAGTAGAACACATTAACAATTCCTAAATCCAAATTTTTTGCCCAATAATTTGTTTCATTTCTAATTTTTTTAATTTTTGACCCAATTACCTATTTTATTGTCTCATTTCTTAGTCCAACAAGATCCAACCCACTAAATAACCCTAAACACCAACATTAAAGTGCATAACGTTGTCTCGACTCTCGCAGTCTCGCTGACATTCCAAAACTTATATAATTGTCGACCGACGCTGTGACCTCCGCCAACCGAAATTTTAACCGTAGCGATCATTTGAATAAGGTAGTCTACTAGTCTCTGACATTTCAAAACAATTGAATGTGTCATTAGTTGTATTTATATAATGTTATTATAAATGTTAAAAAATTTAATTATAGTACAGAATCGAACGGAACCGAACCCAAATGGTTCCATAATTATATTTGGACCCGATGGTTCCATTTACTAAATACCCAAAAATTTGGTTTCGGTTCGGTTCAGTTACCCACGCCCACCCCTAGTAGACACGATTATAGGGAAAAATAAAAGGAAAAAACATATAATAAATGAGACTTTCTTTCAGCATTAACGATTCCTATATTCATAAAACAATTCAAATCTCATTTCTTTGCAGATCCGAATCATCCTTATCCATAAATGCAGCTCCCATAGCCTGTATCCACGAAAAAACATTATTCAGAGATTATCAAAATGATTCTCTCTAATTTTTTAAAAAGGAGGCACTACGTATAATAAATTTTAATATTTGGAGATTTTTTGTTTTTAATCTTACTTGGATCAGTTAGTACAACGAGTCCTGAGTTCCCAAAATAGCAGTTCCAATGGTTCCTTCCCTTAGACTGGTAATATAGATCCATGGCCACTGAAGCATGGTTAATTAGATTATCTGGTACAAAGCAAGAGCAACCCTTCTGCAGAACCCTACAATCCACCTGCGAACACGCATAGTTAAGATTTGCCAACAGAGTGCCTTGTTCGGACGAAGGTTTCGCCACGCACCATGTTTTCTGCAACACAACCACACGATTCTCGATAAATTTGGAGTTAGGCAATTTCTTTTTGTTCATTTCTATTTCCTAAGTGAAATTCTTGGTGTGTATCAGTCAGTACTAAGTATTAAAGAAGGAAAAAAAGTTAAAATATTGTTCATTATATAATTTGTTTCGATCTTGTATATTGAATATGCACTTGAAGTTACCTGTTGGTTCGCCAATGTTAGGCTCCCAAGTACTGCAGAAACATTATTAGCTGATTATTCAGTTTTAGGGTAAGGTTCAGACGAAAAAAAAAACCGGCAAGAAAAGAAAACATAGAAAATCTACCTGAAATGAAATAAATGAGGAAAAGAGATGGATGAGTTGCTTTAGCCATTGGTGACTTCTATGCAGAGTTGCACTTTCTATAAACTGAAGTAGTACAAGTGAGAGTGATTATTTAGTGTGTGTGTGTGTGTGTATATATATAAGGATCAAGAAATGTCCAATATTTTTAAATAAGGGGAAAGGACAAATGGGATTAACGGCTATAATCCTTCTTATGAGCCGTTAACTAGAAATCTTTGTGGATAAGAAGGGAGCCAAGAGTGCAAATATTCAAATGTGGCTCTTGACCTTTTCATTGTTTTATCTTTGCTCTTCAATTCCCACTAAAAGTCAGGTCGACATATTTGGTACAATAAATTTAATAATAGATAATATAGATGATAAGATAATAGATTAATTTTGTCACACGCATAAGTCTAATTTCTTAATTATATATAGTGGTGTCGAATTAGTCGAGCTTACCAATAGGACATTGATGATCATACTAGAAATTCAGGGCATGTTTCAATCACATTTTTTCAAAAAAATACATTCTTAAACAATGATTTGACATCATTTCAACTACACATTTTTCAATAACCTGATATTGTACGCAAATTCAAAACTTTTTTTTATTTTTTAACCACACATTTTCTATTAATACACTATTCAAAAATGCATTCCAAGAAAAATAATGTGACTCAAACAAGGGCTCAATCCAATACACTAAATTAATGGGGTAAAAATATTTTTTTTCATGATCTAGAGTTTACAATATTTTACTCCAAACTAAGGGAATGATAAATTATTTGATATGAACAAGTTTTTGAATCACTTTCCTTGCTCATTTGCAAGAAAAAAAAATATTCTTTTTGATAATTAAAGTTTATAAAATAAAAAAATAAAAATCAATACATCGTACTACCACGTAAGTAGCCACTAGCCAATTAGTAGGTCAACCCTGCTAGAAGGCCTTGTGTGGCCCCAGCTATTGGAGTAGCCCTGGATGAGGAGACTTATCTTTAGTAGGTAGCATTTCAAAAATATACAGAATAATATTAATTGGTTACATTGTACTTTTGACTTGTAGAATTTTGAGATTAACGGTCGTTTAAGATTTGATTTATCGATCAAGAAGAGAAGCACGTGAATCGATCTATTCTAGTATTAAGTGCCTTCAACTTTTTCCTTTACATACTCCAATAAAAGGGTCTCTCACATTTTATTTTATTTTAAAGTTATAAATTGACAAATTGTATTTTTTTTTTCTCACATAAACTGATAAGGTTTTAGCCTCTGTTTGATTCCCATTAAATTACATTTCATTACATTTTATTTTTCTCTCTCCTATTTTCAACCATACAATCTTTCATAAAATAATATTACACGTAAATCGAAAATTTTTCCTTCTTTTTCAACCACTCATTTTTTCAACAAAACACTATTCCTCCCATTTTCATTACCAAAAATGGGGGCCAAACGGGGCTTAATTATTTGATTATAATATAAAAAATTAAACTCGATCTTTCAATCATTACATATAAGAGCACTTATCAGTAGTGAGATTAAAAGTACTGTAGTAGTTTGTCTCAAATTTTAGTGGGTATAGGAGTTTTGATTGAAATGGTCTTAAAGAAATCAAAATTATAGATTGAGAAAAAGAATCGTCGCATTTTCACAAACTTGCCGCTCGAGCAACTCCTACATATTTTCTGAGCGGCGGAGCTATTGCCAACCTATTGCTATCGTGTCGCTCAAGCAGCAGGGTTATTTTGCCCCGGCCAGTCTCGCATGTTGACATGTTTTTAGACCCCTATCCATCTACAACTTGATTTCTAGAGTTTATATATATAAGTCACGGCTTATATTGTTTCTATAACATTCATACAACATTTTGAAAGTTTTAAATCTTAATTAAGAGTATTGAGATCTTGTTGTAAAAATAATTACTATTGATTATAGTGAATTTCTCCTCCCTTGCCCATGGTTTTTTCCGATCTTGGATTTTCACATAAATCTTGATGTTTTTAGTTTGTTCTTATTTATTTTATTATGAGGAAATTACTAGAAATGTCTACTTTCATATATCCATTTGTAAAAAATGTCCATCATTGCAAATCCTTACAAAAATGTCCATTTTGAAATAATCTAGACCAAAATGCCCTTGTTAACAATTTATAATTCCCCACAAGGACAAAAATGGACATTTTTGCAATTAAAAATTTTATTGGCCAATAAAATTTTGACACGTAACCGACCTTACTAATTTCAAAAGTCACATGTCAAATCACAATAAATGCTATTTTTCTCATTGACACAGAAATATCGAGAACTACTTTTCAAGTGTAGAGAAATTTCATGTTCAGAATGAAATGTTACTCTAGACATTTAATATGTTAATAACAACATTTAAAATGTCGAAAACATTTAATATTGTAATTTGACGTGTGTACTTTGAAAATATAAACGGGGTTCAAATATCGAAAATGACATTTGAAATGTCGAAAATATCATTTTAATATAACTTCTCATAGAAGCTACTTCTCGTAATCTGTGAAAAATTGGGAAAATTTTAATTGCTTCATTTTTTCATTAAGGGTATAATAGACAGTTTAGTACTAAATTTAAAAATGGGACATTTTTGAATTGACACCCATAAAATTGAACATTTTTTAAAATGCCTCTTTTATTATTGTCATTATCTTGCGTTCAATTCATAACAAGTGATATAAGAAAAAGATTGATTATTCCGTATGGCAAAGATAAAATATGATATTTTGTTATTCAATCGAAACACGATATTTGCTTTATGGCTAGTGAAGATGCAAGTGGTTCACGCAGATGAATTTGGAGAAAGCCTTGCTTGGCTTTAAGAAGATGCCTTCAACCTAGACGTAAGATGAAAGGTAGCATAAGAATCGGAAAGCCCAATCTCAAATTCATCTACATTTATTGAATTAAATTCTGCAGGATGTTCTAAAGGAGAAAATTGCAACTGCATTGTAATTGAAAGTTGGAACAACTTTATATGACAAAGAACTTGACCAATACGTTATACTTGAAACAACGCTGAAAAGTTGAGTGCAACAGGGGATGCTGCTCACGAAGGAATAATTGCTTTAAACATGAAAATGGTTCAAGCCAACTCTCAGTTGAGTGCAGCAAGGATTGTTGCTTACGAAGTTGTTGCTGTTCAGTTTGTACCAACTTAGTGGTAGATCACCTGAATGGTACTACAAAGGAGCTTTCGACTTGGATAACCAAGGGGGAGGATGAACATCAAGTAACGGCAAAGATGACTTATTTTTTTTATGAATTGTGGGGGTGGTGTGAGGAGGTTTATGCGAATTATGTGTATGAATCCTTAAGAGATTCATATCATGTAACATAATGTTTAGTTTGATTAGGATGTATATTGAGAAGAGACATTAGTTTATGCAAGTATTGGCCTCTATAAATTTAGAACCATTTGAATGTTCATACCAAAATTTCAAGTTTTATCATATTCCATATCCAAGAAAAGAAAAGTAAAATTGAATGCCATTCAAAATTAGCTAAAGTAAAATTGTAACAAAGTTGACAATCTCCTTAATCCAATCCAAAATCACTTATTTTAAACTAGAAATCAAACCCCTACTTTATCACAAAGAGAACCTATTTCCCACATACTACAAGATCAAAACACTAAAAATCACCATTTCCTGACCAATAAAATAAATAAAATAACTTCTTCCTATTTCTTGTGCTCCTCTCTAGCCACAATCTTGAACTTCCCCGTTTGTTCTTGCTGCAAAATTCGAACAAAATCAGAAACAGACAACTAAAAATTGTCAACAAAACCACAAAAATAATCAATTCATCAGCATAATTGAATAGAATAGAAAGTCTTGAAGACTACATCAACAAGTAGAGAGAGACAAAAAAATGTAAACAAGATGTCCATAATGTCATTACCTTCTTCCACAAATCAGTGTGGGTTCTGCAGAAGCCAGCAACAATAGCCCCACTATTTCTTCCTTCTTTATACTCAATGCACAACTCTTCTTTCAATCCACAAGTAACATGGAAAGCCAAAGGGCACTTAGGTTCAGAACAATCAATCACGCACCCATTTTTAGCCCTGCAAATGTAGCATTTTTTCTCCCACCGCCACTTTGGCACCTTGGTGCAATCAATTCCTTCTCTGCCTTCAGGGTCACTGAAGAACACTTCTGGCACAAACAGTGCACACACAACATGAGCCCACTTGCCATCTTTTGTGGGCTTCAATGCACCACCGGTTACAGGGCAGAGGCAGCAAGAAAATGCCTTTGAGGTAGCGTCTTTCTGATTCTTCAAGCATTGGGCGCAAAACCAATCACCTTCTGGGACACCCTTTGTGAATGGATGGCCATAACATGTGGTGTGAATCATTAAATCACAACCATCGCAAAGCACAATGGGATCTGTTGGATCCCCATCTGTGCTATCACATATAGCGCACACAATCCCATCATCGTCATTTTCCTTAACGTCTTCTTCTTCGTCTTTACTTTCAACCTCGATTTTTTTTACTTCACCTTCAGGTCCTCCTGGAATACATATTTCCTTTGCTTCCTGCAAGTCTTTTTGCTGGTTTTCTTGTTTTCCAGCATCAAATGATGGAGTGTATTCGACGTTGAGATCGAACGGTTGAATGGCATAAACCCTTTTCTTGGCCGGCAAGCGGTAACCATTAATGGCCGTGGGACTGGGAAGAAAAGGTGGTGAATCTCGGGATTCCTTACGCTTTTTGGCCGGAAGGCATAAAGGGGTCATCGGATTGTCTTTCGATTCCTGGAAATTATCAATATTATTTTCTTCTAGTTCTTGTTGCATCAGCCTGAACCTTTTCAGAGGAGGCAACCCATGAAATCTGCCCTCCATTCTGAGAGATCACAAAGAAAGGTGCGAAACTGGATTTTGAAGTTTGAAGGGGTTGAATTAAGCAGAGCGAAGATTCGAAGATAACAATGGAATAGTAAATCTTGAAGCTACTATAATAAATTGGAGGATTTCAAAGCGGCGGGAAGTCGAAACTATGAGAGTGAAAAATCAAAAAATATGTGAAAACGTTAAAAATTGGCGGTGCTGGATTTCGATTTTGATTTGAACGAACTAATTTGAATATGATAAGAGGAAATTTTCGCAAGGCGGTACAACAAATTGGAAAATTTTCATCTTCCGTTTTCGTGCACTTATTTTTGTTTTTGAGGAGGATTGGGGATTTGGCGCCAAAATTCAATTTGGATAAGTTAAGGATTAAACCAGTACTAATTTATAGATTTGAATTTGCCTGATTCCCCATTTTAAGGGCTGCTTGTTAGTGATTTTTTCTCCCAAAAATTTAATTTTTTTACCGTTATTTCATTATTTCAGTCGTCATATTTGACTTCTTCTCTTACAGGTAGATCCTACTTTTCTCTTAACGGTCAAAAAATCAATTCTCAAAATCATTCCCAAACATGCTCTAAACTTTTGCCCGCACTTTTTTCGTCTCTTTGTCTTTGGAATTCTTTGACTTGTTTGGAAGAGATGAACATTGAATATCATGGAATCTAAAACTTTTTAATCATATATTTGATTGATATTTTTGAAATCTACTAAAAAATTAATTTTATTCTTTATCAAATAAGGCATTGAAATACCATATTACTATTTCAATATTGTCAAAATCTTTTGACTCTAGTGAATTATACTTTTCTTTTCCTATGATTTATTGTTATTTACAAATAATAATCACAGAAAGACATCATGCATATCAGAATATATTATTTTATTTGGACTATGGTTCTCGTTAGTCTCAAACACATTTTATTTTAAGCTTACTTTCGATCACATATTTTTATAATAAAATATTTTACACGTAAATATTAAAAAAAAAATCGAGTTAAAAAGTAAGAAAATTTTTGGATTTATATGTAAAATTATCTTATTGAGAGAATGTATGATTGAAAATGAGTTTTAGGAAATTGGCTCAAATAAGGGTAGTCCTAGTAACAATTTATGATCAAAGATCTATTCGTAGCCTAAAATGAATTATTTGCCCATCATATTTTTGAAAACATGACAAATACAAAAGTGTGATAAAATGTTTCTTTCAATTCAAAGCACCCAAGCAGAAAAATCATTGCGAACAAAATGTTGAAGATAAGAATTTGAGCGAAAAATTTAGGCACAAAAATGTTACAATGGTCAAGTATTATTGGATTTTTTTTTTTTTTTTTTTGAGTAATGTTATTCATTGTGAATATTATCTATAGTCGTCGTACGTGGCATATATATATCAGTTTATTATTTGATACATTAATATAATAATTTTTTATTGCTTATGCATCAATAATAAACTGACATATATTTATCACGTAAGACGACTGGCCAGTAGTCTTCACTATGAATGTCGTTATTCTTTTTTTTTTTTTTCCACACATTTGTTTTTGAACTTGAAGAATATCTTTTGCTCAATTTAACTTCTGTACATCATCCAATGGACAGCTTCACAACAAAAAATGGAATGTTAATTGACGACGAGTTTGGTAGCTTGTTCTAAATTTTCCTTCACTATGTCACAAATAGGACACTGAAGCTAATGCCGGCATAGTCGAGGACTATAGGAAAAAGACAAATCCACACAATCAATCAGCTGTGTACTAGTTTACAACATTCTTGCGTATCGCGTGAGAGTTTTATTAGCTCCTAACGGTGAGTAATTGCCAGCGGCTTATTAATTGCATGTCCCACAAATCGAAAACACGAGAATCCAACCCTAGCTATCGGTGATTCTCACATGGAAACTTTCGTGCATGCAAACAATTTTCTTCACATTCTTCTGTAATAAAAAATACAGCCTTTTTCACCATTGTTGCTGATTTTCAGTATGCATAGAAGCTTTATGGAGTTTAGAAGACCAAATGAAGTTATCAATGCAAAAGGCTGTTGCATTATTTGCTTGCACTTCCTTTTTATTGATCGGCTTATGCATGGCAGCGGCTCTTAAGAAAAGGTGGAGTTAGAGGAAAGGAGCTGTATATCAAGAACCGTATACAGAAGCCTCAATCACCACGACATGGGCTGAGCCACCACGGCTGGGGTGGGGCTCAATGAAAAAGGCATTAATGAGCTCGGTATGGTGGAGCCGGGGCGAGCAAGTGGGAACTGAACTTGAGTGGGAGTGGAAAAGAAGGGCCTACACCTTTGCTTGTGTTGACACACAAAAGTTCAACCCAAATCAAATAAGCCCAAGGAATGAAGTCTAATTGGAGGATCCCCAAATCAGATAACCCAAAAAACAACCCAATCAGACAATGCAAGATAAAGGCTCAAATAGGGAAGCCCATGAACACGGTAATACCATCGTCCAAGGTTATAAGTCGCCCAAGATTTGAGCGAATGGATTGCCATGCAGTCGCCCAGAACTGTGGCCCTGTTCTCGCCCAAACCTTTGAGTCGCCCAGGATCTTAGCAAACATAAGATGTTATGGTTACCCAAAGGTGGGATTAATGAAGCAGTTATTGAGTAGCCCTATCACGTTCCACGATTCAAGGAATTCAATTGAAGACGATTGAAAGACAAAAGTAATGGCAGCAGTTAGAGAAGGCAGTTCCATGACAAGTTGGCCACTATGAAGAAAGTGGGCAGTTATAGAGCGATCGAGCAGTTTTTAAGCGGTTGATCACGAAGAGATCATCCAGAGAGTATAAAACGAAGAAAAGACATAGAGCAAAGGACCCCGAATCAAACACTCTCAAACAGAGAATGTGTAACTTTCAATTTTCTAGTTTAGATTTAAGCACTTCTTTTCAGTAACTCGTGTGCTTGCGCCCCTTGGAGACATTCTGTTTTTATTTTCCAATTGTAAAGTCATCGCCAATAAAAACACCACTTTTTGGGACTTTGTTTCAAGAGGTTTGTCCCTTGCACAATCGTCTGATCCCTTTTTAATTATTTGCAACTAACCCGCGCGAAACAATTTGGCACGCCCAGTAGGACAGTGGTGTTTGGTGTTGAAGATACAAAAGGTGAAACAATATGCCTCAGAGATCCGATAAGGAAGCAGCAAGTCAGGGAGGAGTCCAATCTGTGATCGAGCGATATGAGGAGTAACATAGCTCTCCACGAACAGATTGACAGAATCAGAGTAGTAACAGTCGTTACGAATCAATGACAGAGTTGAGTCCTCGAACTATGCGGCACTACTTGGAGAACTTACACAAGATGTCGTTGAACAGGTAAATCTTCGAAACATTCATAATATGGAAAGATTTACCCAAAATGGGAATACACATTATGACAACATGGCCAAACAACTGAATACTTTGAACGAAATAATGAATAAATTAGTAGGCCAAATTTGTCAACCAGTTATGCCTCTTGCAAACCACTTTCAAACTAGGACAATTGTAGGATATAATCCCCCAGTCCTAAATCCAAGTCAAGGGGTAGAACCACCTTTCGGTCCCTCTACTTTAAACCAAGGGGATGGTGTAATGCCAAATCAGAATAATGGTAGTGGTACGCCTAACTTGGGGGGTAATCCAAATGTAAGAGATAATGTCCTAAATAATGGGCAGAATACCCCACGTGTTAATGAGAGAATAAATGTTCAGGCTAATGGTAATAATGACCCAAATCATGGTAACTTTGTTGCCAATCAAGGACCAAACATCAGGCTTCAAACAAATCAACCGGTTAACCAACCTGTAGGAATTTCGTATGACACCAACGTCATGTTGAGGAATCAAATTATGGAAATCGTACAGGATCAGATGACTTTTGGGGTACGTCCTGTCATTAGGCTGACTTACACAAAGCCATATCCTGATTGGGTAGACCAAACATATCCATGGCCCAGAGGGTATAAAGTGTCGAATTCTCACTATTTACCGGTTTAGGGGAGGTGTCTACTCTAGAACACATAGGGTGATTCACACTGCATAGTGGTGACGTAACTGATTATCATAAAATGAGGCTTTTCCTTAGTTCATTAACAGGAGTAGCTTTCTCCTGATTCATCAATTTGCCAGATTTTCGCAAAAGGGCCAAATTTTGATGTTCATATCATCAATAACGAGTCATACGATCAGACCGAAATATGTTTGACCGAATTAGTCAAAGGAGACACGTATACTTGTCCTATAATGGCTAAGCCTAGACCATCGGGCAAGGATGAGCCTATGAAAACATAAAAGCTAGAACGTTCTCGTTCGATGTAACCAAAGCTGACCTTATATTTGATAAATTCTATAAGGATAAGCAGATAAAGCTGAGCGATAAGCATAAATTGCCAAACCCTGAACAAATTAAGGGTAAAAAATATTGTAAGTGGCATAATGCATGGTCACATTTGACTAACAATTGCTTGGTTTTTCGCCATGTGTTACAGGATGTCATTGAATCAGGACGAATTACGTTCGATGATAAGAAGAAGATGGCAGTGGATGAAAATCCTTTTCCACAGCCACTTGGAGTGAATATGGTGACGTCTGGTTTCAAAAACAAGTTGCCAAAATTCAAGTTGGTTATAGATGATGGAGAAGAAGACCCTGGACCACATCCCAGTGTCTTTGAGCGTATTAAAGGGAAGGAGCCAAAAAAAGATGAAGACGTCTTGTGTACAAGATGTAAAAGAGAAGTGAGTGGGAATACGGATAAACCAGGGATATTGCAGCATCCCCATCGCCCTACTTTATTCCCAAACGCTCAGCCTGGTAGAGGGCGAGGTACATCGTTTTATAGGGGACCGCCTTTTGAGAGGCAGTTCAGGCCAGTAAATAGTGGGAGAACATTCAGGCCGCAACCTCGCCAACCAAATGTATGGCATTCGTTCCAGTATAATGCAAGAAAGGCGATACCCTTCAACGAGATGACTAGAACCCAACAAAGGCGTTTTCAACGAAATTATGGACGAATGATGAGGCAACAACAAGGAGTGCCATGTCCTAAGGCGCCTAAACTACTCGAGGTAGCCAATCAAAATGTTCTCAAAGACGGTGAAGAGACTGATACAGATGAATCAATGAAGGAGTTGCCAGAAACCTCTTCTGGGAGATCGAAGTTTGAACGAGATAGAAGGGATGGAGAAGATCCAAATC